TGACCTCCACAGGTATCATGGAAACACATGCAGGAGGGAACTGGGATTGATTTGTAAAATAAGATTGTTTCTCGTTTAAATTAAAGAAAGAAATACATGCAGGCACAACATTCAGACGTATAAAATAATATATTTAAAAGCAAAGCTGAAAATCTTTAAGGGGCTGAACAGATGGCTCAGTGGTCAAGAGCAACCTGCTCTTACACAAGTTCAATTCCCAGCACCTACATGGCGGCTCACAACCGTTCGTAACTCCAGTTCAAGGGGATCCCCAAGCCTTCATCTGACCTGAGGGCACAAGGCACACACATGACTGAGACATACATGGAAATAAAACATTCATACAGTAAAGTAAATCAGGTCTGGTTTGGTTTTTATAATGTATCCTTAAGAAACAACATCTTAGCTGGGCACAGCGGTAGCTCACATCTGTAATTCCAGTACTCTAGGAGGCCAAGGCAGGAAGAGTGCCTGTAAGGCTAGCTAGGGCAACATATGGTAAAACTAACTAAAACAAACAGGAGGAGGGGGGAGGAGGGGGGAGGAGGGGGAGGAGGAGGGGGAGGAGAGAAAGACAGGCAGGCTGGCAGATACAAATAAACATGCCCTTGCCATTTTTGGCCTAATACAGACCTGTGACCTAAAACTAAATCATAAGGAAATACAAGGTATAAAGGCTATTATACCTGGAATACTGTACCATTATAGACATTTACCCGCCTAAGCTGGTTGGTTATTCAGCTAGAATTATGCAACAGAAATAATACACAAATCAGAAACATACCATGCATAGATTCTTAAATTTTCTAATGCTCATTTTTAATAAAGCACAAAATCAAGAGATTTTACTTATTTTGATACTTAATGAACTATTTTACATCCTTTTTGCATACAAAGACTTTGAAATCTAGTATTCAGTTTATATATATCATAGCTATCTAAAATATCACCTGTCAAATTTCAAGATTTTGGCTATATGAATAGCTAATACAAGAAAAAGCACAGAGCTGGAGCTATGTATGCCCATAGAATAAAGCTTGTTCTCACCAATTTCACAAGCCCAGTTATATATGACCATACACCGTTGAGTAAGACTGTTCAAGACAAAACCAAACGGATTTCATTTCAAAACTTGAGTGTCCTTTATGTCCCAAACACTGTTACACCAGCCTGACACAAAACTGCAAATCCTACTTAAACAAGTATTTTGTGCTTATATACAGAAGCAAGTATTAAAGCTTTAAAAAAAATTCTTTCCTTTGAGACAGGGTTTTACTATATAGCCGAGACTGGCCTCAACTTGATCCTCTAGAATACCAGCCTCCTGGGTGCCTGATTAAAGCATGCAAGCCACACCAGGCTTAATTAATTTCAATCCACTTACATGGAAATCCTCAAAGATCATGATACTCGTCCAAAGCTGGTTCCCTCCCCCCTTTAGAACCTCCATACCCAGTGAAACTTTAGGATGACGGAGAGAAGCAAAGTAAGTTAAACCACAATCACCAGGTTTCATTTTAACAGATCTGAGCAGGTATTTGTAAAACCATGGGGATCTTCTCTAGACCCTTCTACCATAATGCATCTGTGGCATTTCCGAGTTACGCAGACTCAGCTGTATGACTTCCACATCATTATCTACCATTTACAGTCCGCACGGCGAGTGAACTAAAGACGAGACTACCAACTCTCCATCCCTTCAAACTATGGTGCAGGCAGGAGCATTAAGGCTGCTGGCCTCCTAGCCCTTAGAGCCTTTAAAGGGAATCCCACAGTCACCTAATTTCAGTTTGACCTCATTCTGACCTAAGATACCGCTTTTACTGAAAAACTGAGGTTTTTTTTCTTTTCCCACAAATGCATATTCTTAGCACCATGAATATATACAAAATTGTTCATTTTACTCATTCTCCCAAGTCAGCATAAATTCACAAAGCATACTTTTAATGAGTATCTCTTCTAGCATTATACAGACCATAAGAGGTTGTTTTTTCAATAGTTCAGTCTTCCAAAAGTTTAAAACCTGCTTTCAGAAATTATACTAATAAAGGAAACACAATTAAGGAAGTATGCAATTAGGTGCAAACCCTGAAGAGATAAATAGTGGTGCAGTTTAAAGTGGCCTTCAACAAGAGACGGAGGGAAACACGGAAAACTTCAATAACACAATGAACGATGTCCTCCGAAAGACACAGGCGGGGCTCAGTCTAACCCAGCAAGCGAAAGCAGAAATGGAGAAAGTCAAGCAAGCTTATAGACAAGGGGGAGTGGTGGCCAACCCTGCGCCAGTCCTCTGCAGGAGTACAGAGTGCTCCTAGCTGTATAATGCACAAGTGCCCCAACCCTCAACCTCTTGCGGTTCCTATGAAACTTTCCTTAGGAGAGTGATGGTGTTGATTAAGCACTTAGCGCTTTCTTTCTTTTACTGTTTTCTGTGTATATGGATTTCTGTCTGCATGTCTGTCTATGCACCAAGTGTTTGCCAGGTGCCCTCAGAGGACAGACAAGGCTGTCATATCTGAAACTGGAGCTACACATGCTTATTAGCCGCAATCTGGGGGCTGGGACTCACACCTGGGTTCTCAGCGAGTGTAGCTCATGCTCTTAGCCAATGAGCCATTTCTCCAGGCCCCAATTCCCATTTTTACTGTACTACTAATGACATTCTTATCATCTCCTTATAGAGAACCAGTTGTTTCAAAACACAGTAATCAAGAGTCTCATACCTCCTCTTACATGGTCAAGACATTGCTCTGTATATAACATGCATTTAATGTAAAACTGGCCCAGTTAAATTGTGATTGTTATTGGGGCTTTGAAATGTTCCCAGGTGTTTCATAAGCGAAAGCCTATGTCCGGTTGCTTATGATTCTTTGGGCCATCTCCTCATTCTTTCCAATGCACTCTACTGCCTTTCTCTTTTACCTTCACTACATTAATTCCTTATTTCTAAAAGGATTTCATTTTATTTTGCTGAGGCAAGGTGTCACCATGTAGCTCTGACTGGCATGGAACTTGTGGAGATCCACCTGCCTCTTCCTCCCAAGGATTAAAGGCGTGGGCCACCACCTCTCACCCCCACCTTTTATTTTGATTTTAATTGTGTATCTACTTGTATATCTGCATGTGGATTTGTACATTTAAATGCAATGACCTCAAAGACCATAAGAGGGCATCATACTGGAGTTACGTGTAGTTGTGAGTTGCCTAATAAAGGTATTGGAAACTCTTCCTCTGGAGGAGCAGGAAACACCAGGCCTTCTCTTCAACCCTAGCTCCATTAGATTCAACTGCCTGTAACGTGTGAAGGCCATCTCTCCCAGATTTCTACTAACTTTTGACAAGACTGAGACTTTTCATGTCACATAAACTGATGATAAAAAGAAATATCCAAAGATCATTTCCCAATCTGAATCTCAAGGAGAGTTCTTTCATAACCCCCATTGCAATACGTTAGACTAAACATCAAGTATTATCCCAGTGCCCACCCAGGAGTGTGACATGGTAGTCTCAGTCTATATGTTCAGAATAAATGTTCCCACATTTTCCTACATCCATAACATAAAGTAACACTACTTGCATGACAACCAAAGGAAAAATCAGATTACTCGTGACCAGGGTGACTGGGAAGAGAGCCTGAGCAATCCCATAATTCAAGGGCTATCTTTAGACTATTTAGCAAGCTCTATATGTTTACTTGTGTTGGAATATATTCAAAGTGGTTCCCCAATCACAGCTGCACCAGACACATCTACCTGACTCAGTGATAGGAGACAGCAGATGCCACCACAGTCTGTTCATGAGTCCTACATCACCATATACTGTTCAACCTATACACTCTTTCATGTTTTTATGTTCAAGCACAGACAAGCATTTTTTTTAATGCACTCCATATTTCCACTGTGACTATCAACCACCATCCATTTAACTATCAAACTTACAACCTCATTTTTCTTAGGCACACCGCCTATAGTCAAAGCATGGAACTCCTTAAAATAATTTGCTTCACTAACTTCACAAATGGTTAAATTGGGTGAAAACAGAACATCGGTCGTCTTCACCCCAGGGCAGCATCATGGCTCGCCATTACCCTTTCATTATAAAGGCATGCAAGTGAGCAAAATGAAAACCTGTAGCAAAGAACACATAGGACCAACAACCAATAGCTTTATTGGCAAAAGTGTCAATTAAGTAAGTAACAAAAAAATAAGGCCACTAGGAATAACTGATTTGTTTCCTCCACTGTACACAGACACAGCATCTTCACTGTACCAGGCGCTCAAGGGTGAGCTCGTCCACACGCAGCACACCACAGCCAGACTCAGATCCACTGTTATCTCCATAAAACAGAGCAGCGCCAGCACGGGGCAGCCAGTCTAGTAGGAGCGCAGGGGATCTTTAAGACGCTTTTATTTATGTATGCCTTCCTTAGAACAACAGTCTACGTTACAGCAATCTTAAGCTAGAACTAAATAATTGGAGCGGCAGAAGTATAAGGGAAGGAAATAGAAAACAAACGTATAAAAACCAACAGTTAGGGTATCTTCTATAGTTAAGAAGTCAAACATCAAATTTTATATACTGCTTTCTTCTGGATGTGCATTTTCTTACATGCAGGTACACAGATGCACACGTGTGTGGAAGCCTCTGGTATCTTCCTCGGTTGCTCTCCATATTGTCTTTTTAGACTGGTTTCTTACTGAGCTGGACGCTTACAGATTTGGCTAGACTGGCTAGCTAAGAAGACCCAGATATCCACCTGTCTCTACCTCCCCCCAGTTCTGGGAGTACAGCCAGCACTGCCATGCCTAGTTTTTTGCATAGATGCTAAGGGCCAGAACTCAAGTCATCACCCTTGTATGGCAGACTTTAAAGACTGAGCCATCTCTCCAGCACCACATGCAGATAAAGCACCAAGACGGACGGACAGACGGACGAGTGTTAACAGTCAAAAAGCACTCCTCAGACATCTTAGCTCAAAGAGAAGTTCTGACACTTACATTGCCCATGTACTCTGAGAGCAGGTCCTGTAGAGCCTGGCGGACAGCATTACACTCTGCCACGATGCGTTCCCGCCGGTCATCACGGGTGCAGGATGAGTCAGCCATCAGCGCGGCTCCGCTAATAATGCTTTCCAGACGCTCCTCCAGTGAAGGCCTAAAACGTTCCTCGCTGAAGCTCAGGGGATCCACAATGATTTGTTTCTACAGAGAAAGTGTTGCTGATATTAGTACTCACTTCTGTTCCCTCAAGCACTCAAAGGGCAAGGAAAGAATTGATCGGGAATATCAAGATGTAATCCCAACACCTGAAAAGTGTTCTTAACAGACAAAGGCTAGCCCATGTAAGTTGTCAACCCATATCAGTAATCACGTCTCAAAGAAGGCACTGTTAACCGGGCAGGGGCTGAATAAAGTTTGATATCACAAATGCAAACACAATGTATCATGTTCACACTACTTCCCCTAAACACCTGAAGGTCAGCCAGCATAGTATTGGTTATTAAAATTATCAAATGATAATTAGAAGGAAAATAACTCTCTTTATGTGCTGTCTATAACTGCTGTACAACAGAACTGCTTGACCATTAACAATTTTAAACAATTAAAGTACTGACTTTTGCTTCTGAAGAAATGCACTTGTAATGAACTTATGATCAACTATTCACAAGCCCATTAAGTACAACTGACCTTCACACCAATGAATCTCTATGCAAATATTTTGGTTTAAATTTGTTTTCTTCATAGAGATTGTGTCCTTAATAATTTCAACTTAAATGCTTTTTTTTTCCCCTGCCAAAAGCTTGGTATTTTTCAGAGAGCAAACATTTCTCTTTTCTTCCAAAGAAACTTCAGTTTTGAAAAGAGATTATGCAACACCTCGAGTTAATAATTAAACGACATTTTAGCTGCCCATTTTTCTTGCTAGATTTGGTTATTACGGGATTCCTCTGATCAGGGTTGAATATGGAGCTGGGTATGTAACTCATTAGTAAACCACCGGCCTGCCCGTGTGTAAGGCCCTGAATTTACTCTCCAACACTACCAAGCCGTGGGGGAGAAAAAATAAACACCTTCTGAACCACAGAAATTAAGAAAAACCGTCACGGATTTTAACAGTCACAGAACTACAATGCAGAGACCGTTGAGTACAGCCCCCTCATCTTACAAATGGAGAAAATGTGACACTAAAAAAGTGGGTGTTTCTAACCTACTTTTCACTTCAGTGCAAACATGGTCCTTAATGCCTTGAAAAGACAAATTCCTAATGTTACCAAATTTGAAGCAGAAGAAAACAATGGTAGGAGTACAACATAAGATGTATCCTATCAACTGTAAAGGTCATTTCATGTTTAATTCTGTGAGAGAAAACGAGAGGCTAAGTCCATGGTAATTTGCCTAGCACGGATAGATGGGGCCTTTAATTTTCCGAAATACAGAAAAATAAAACTCCAGGTGAGAAGTTAACCCCGTCATCTTGAGACACAACGCTCTCTTCTCCTCTTGTGCTTACGAAGAGGCCTGAATCTATCTCTGCGCATCAACAAGACCCAATGGCCTATACTCAAGTGCAGGGAAGGCCCAATGCAAAAGACAAACGAAAACGGTTGAAAACAAAATACATTCCGTCACACTGATGCCATACTTCAAAACATTCCAATTATGAAGATGATAGTTACCCACACCAGCTTTCCGCAGCAACTGGTTCAAAACCAAGCTAGTCATGGTGGTACACAGGGAGGCTGAGTCAGGGCGTAGAGGTCAATTAGGGCTACACAGCCAGACCCAGTTTCAAACAAACAAAAACAAAAATCTTAAACTACTGCCATCTACTGGATGTCATGACTCACTTTGGGTGAGAATTAAAAACAAAGCACAATACATTGATTGATATGAGGGCTGAGGATAATAGATACACAGTAGAGAGATCTAGGGCATCATCTGTAAAAGCATTGTGGCAAATAATTTAATTTCAAATCTGTTTCGCCGTGGTTAAATTCTTGTGTTCATGGTTCAAAAGCAAATCATAGAGAACAGGACTCTATCTATACAGTCAGGTAAGATTATGATGGCAGCAGTGTAATTTATCTACGTCTCTCACAGGAACATGAGTTCCCCAGAGACAAAGCCTACACACACTTTGCTTGCTTCGGTATCTATCACAGGTCCGTTTTGCCACGTGGTCAAAACCCTGGCTGGAATGAACCAGACTTATAGTCTCAATAAGGACCACATTAAGAAGAGGAAAAAGGACGGCCACACAAGGAAATGTAAGCTGCATAAGAAAAATGCAGATGTTAACCACACTAGAAAAAACTAAAGAAAGAAAAGAAAAAATGCTTTAAGTCAAGTTACAATAAAGTAAACTTGTGACTTGTAACAATTTCTTCCCATTTAATTGGAAAATGGGCTTTCATCGCAAGCCTTGATCATATTTCCCCAGGAAATCAGTTATCTTTGGCAGCTGGTGAAGAGCCCAAACTTTCCTCCCAAACATAACTTACATCAAAGTTGTTGAGAGCATACGCCAGCTCTCCACCACCACCCTGGTGCTGGGAGGCATCGTCTGGTGCAGTAGCCTGGGCTGCATTAGAAATGCCTGTGACGGCTTGCTGCAGCTGCTTGTATATCAGGTCCCGGTTGGCTTTATAAGCTGCAACATCAGGGTGCTGCAGGCATGCCTGGGACGCAGTATAGAGGATGGGAACGTTCTTCTGCAGGATTCCTCTTGCCGCAGCCATCTGATCGCGGTGGCCCACGTCTTTCAGTTCCTAAAAGAATAAAAGGAAAAATTGGAGGGTTTTTATAAGGGTTCTTCTATTCGTATCAAGACGTATCTGTATTAACCTGCCCTGAAAGACGGCCAATCGCAAAGTAAGCTAAGACAGAGCTCTGACACCACAAGCCACGACCTGAATCTCCTAGCCTACATTTTCCTGGCCATTTGTTGTGTCCTTACTGTAAACTCAATTTTTCCTATGCAAAACAGGAAAAGTATTATGGCCCTTTTAGTACTTTGAGGAATAAAATGGGATAATGTATACAAAGCACCTAGAACCAAAAAGTGCTAAATAAGGAATGGAATAAAAGTCACAAAATAAAACTGTTTAACATCTTGATCAGGTCCATATAGCAAATAGAAAGCCCATACAGACATAATTAAAGAAAATAATATCACAATTTAAGCTACCTAAGTTGATTACAAGAATTTTATGAAATTTGGAACACAACACCCTGAGTGTATGAACTTCGCAAGCCAACTAGGTAAGGATACGACCAGCTATTCTCATAAGTACATGACACCACCTCCCCTTTCCTAACCGAAAGAGAACATTCCAGAATACAAAACTATGCTGTCTTCACCGGATATTAAGTCACAAAGTGAAGGCCATGTACTCAGTGATTTCTATCTATGATTATAATATTCTGTAAATGTGCTTTTCCACTACCTCTACCCCATAATTACAAGGACATGAAGCTGCTGGCATGATGCCAACTAATGACATCCAGAACACTGGGTGTGCTAGGTAACAAGGACACACCAGACAGGAAGGGGCATGGCTGGCACCCAGTCATTACTGAAACTTCAAATCACAGGAGTCTTTGATGAATTTGGATCAGCATATAGAGGAGGGGTAGCCCTAGACTCTAAATCTGCTCCAACAGTATTTTACCCATGAACATAAAATTTCAGTATTAATGTCACTATAACAATTTAAATGAACAATAAGAGAAAAATTAAATAGTATCAAAATGTCGATTACTCAAAGTCTGAATTAGCTATTTAATTGTTCTCTTTTCTAGATGACTTCTTTTTTAACAATTTAAATTTATTTTATCTTGCATTGGTGTGAAGCTGTCAGGTCCCCTGAACTGGAGTCACAGACAGTTGTGAGCTGCCATGTGGGTGCTGGGAACTGAACCGGGTCCTCTGGAAGTGCTGTTAACTGTGGAGTCCTCTCTAGGTGACTTTTTAATTAACCACCAGAGATACTAACTGGTTTCCTTCTTCTGAAACTTCATCTCCTTGTATATTCGGGGGTTTACATCTTCATTCATACCTTGTACAGTGACAGCTTACTTTTCCATTTAGAATTCTTTTCTCACTTGGAACCTGGATTTTTGAGTAATAAATAGCTCACAGCACATAGAATGCTCTGTAGCTTACTACATTAGCCTAAACATTCGGAATCAGGATCCTGTGAATTTAGAGTTTGAGTCATTTCAAGACTCAAGTTATGACAAGAGGCTTTGCTAACTTTAGGCTTAAACATGTGGGCATTTTCTAAATGTTTTGCTCTTGCTACAAAATGCCAAGGAACTTAGGCCTCCTAGGGTCGTATTTCCCTGTAAACATTTATACTGTACAGTCGGCCTTAATGTTCCTATGTGCTTAAAACTACAGCAGCACTGTCTCTTACAGAGACAATCGCAGATACACATGATCACCTAAAGTTTAAAGGTACCAGAATGAATTACCAACACCTGACCTCCCTAAGCCATTGAATAATTTAGGACAATAAACTACTTTTCCAAAGACTGTATTAGGCTGAATATTAAAAAAAAATATCCTATGGCTTTAGAGAGTTGGTGATCATTTCAAGGATCACATATAACAGGCACTGAGTGGTCATGATGCCTAAATAACTGGGACATATTTTCTATGTGAGCATTTTCTGAATAAACTCTCATTTGCTAAGCATTAGGGATAAGCTAGAAAGAGAACAATAACCAAATCTCATTTATACTAGTTGCTGAAGTTGGACTTTCCCTTTTTAGAGCCATTTTTATCTTCTACAATGAAACAAAGTTTTTGTTTAAAAAATAGGAAAAGGGACACTAATGAGGGTATTGGTATTGTAATAAGAATACATCAATCAAAAAGTATTCCTCAAGCTATGTAATACTGATTAATAATCCAAATTCTGGTGGAAAGCAAGCTATAAAGCAACATAACAAGTTATTTATAGAAGAATCCTATAAAAAGAAAAAAAAGAATTCTGTGTTTTAGATTGTGTCATGATTTCTCAACTTCACCAATCTGGTTACAGTTCAAGCAAACTAAGAACAAACAGAAAATATACAGAGAAAACTACTTTCCATAAATCTGATTTATCCATCCCATGCACTTTGAACAAGAAATAAAAGCTAACTTCTAAGTAATCTAACATGACTCTCTAAGAGAACTGGGAATCCAAGTGAAAGTTTCTTCTCATTTCCCTCTTAACAATACAGAACTGTAGCTATAGATACATTTGATCAGATGTTTTTGAATAAAAATGACTGTACCTGGCCAAAAACAAAAAAACAACAACAACAAAAAAAAAAAAAAAACCCAACCAGTACAGATTTTAACAAATAAAACACCAATGGTACCACTGCCAAACAACTGCTGAGGTGTTTCAGAAAACAATCACACCAGCCAGGGCACGCAGACTAGCTAAGGAGTAAGATGTACTAATAAGCTCTTGTAAATATCTCAAAGAGCTTTCTGTATATGAATAGACGACATCTGAACATCAAAACACTCTGCGTGCTGAGGGCCCATAGCTGACCATGCGGCACAGGTGGTATTCTACAAAACTACACGTGTCCACCCTAACCTCCGTCATCACCCTTACTCCTACTATGGTATTAATGCACCCAACCCCCACATTTTTATCTTGGAAACAATGCCCCAAGTCACATTAATATTTGAAGGTGGAACCTTTGGGAAGCAAACAGAAATTAAATACTTCATGAAAAGTCTAACCCTCAAGGTGACATTAGTGGCTTTGTAAGGCAAGAAAGAAGCCTGAGCAGTCCTGACAAAGTGTGCTCGCTGCCTGCTTACAATGCAGTAAGAAGGGCCGCCATCTCAGTTGCTGGGTAATGGCACATGGCTCATGGACACCCCAAGCATCCAGAACCATGAGCTAAATAAAACTCTAAAGGCGAAAGAATCAAAGAATTAAGCAAATTACATTTAAGGATGTAGCTGAGTGTAAACCACTTGCCAAGACAGTAAATTCCATCCCAGGGTGGGAGACAATAGGGTGAATTAAGCATAATCTTGACAACCCAAGAAAATGGGAGCATGATCATTCAAAATCTCAACAGGAAAAAAGGCAATATAACGAGGAAAGGGGGACTCGTGGGTATATCCAGACAGGTTATGTTCCTGAGGTAGGATCAGCGCAAACAAGGGTAGAAAACAGAGACAGAGAAACTAAGATATTTTTTTGGGTACCTTATTTCAAGAATAGTTAACATTTACTGATATTTCTCTTTAATACACTGAGATCATGTATAACAGTTGTCCTCAACCTAACTAATGTTGAGGCCCTTTAATACAGTTCCTCACGTTGTGGTGACTCCCCCACCTCCAAACCACAAAATTATTTTCGTTGCTACTTGTTAATTTTAATTCTGCTACTGTTATGAATTGTAATGTAAATATTTTTAGAACTTGAGGTTTGCCAAAGGTGTTGAGATACTACTGATGTATAAGGAACTCCTAATGGACTCAGGACACTGAAATTAAAACTCAGGCAAAATTACTTTCTAGTAAGTTTCTACAATCAGACACAAAATCTGGACTGCTACTATGTTTTACCTCAAGAATACCGTCTAGCCAAGCATCCTGGTGCATGCCTTTAACCCCTGCACTCAGATTCCAGGGAGAATGGATATAAGACAGGAGGACCACAAGTATAAGGCTAGCCTTGAACTACTTAAAACAAAAACATATTGTGAAAATCTGAGTGAAATTTCACTATAGCTTTGTTACTGGCACAATACCAAAAAGATTTTTTTTTCAAGACAGGGTTTCTCTGTGTGTCCCTGGCTGTCCTTAAGCTCACTCTGCAGATCATGCTGACCTCAAACTCAGAGATCCACCTGCCTCTGCCTCTCGAGTGCTGGGATTAAAGGTGTGCGCCACCATAGCCCAGCTGGAAAGATATTTCTTTATAAGCACTCACTGAAACCACATAGACTGAGGAAAACTAACGATATCCATTAGAAAACTTAGGCAAACCAGGTCATCCCCACTAGAAACTGAAATCCTCTCGGCCTGTTTTGCACAGTAGGTGCCAGGTCAGCCAGGGCTGTGCAGTAAGACCCTGTCTCAACGAACAAAGAGACCGGAAGTAAATAGCATCACAAAGCGTCTGCAGACCACGCTTGTACCTGCTGTCTTTTCGCGGCCATGATATTCAGCTTATCCACCTCCGGCTTCAGAGCTTTGTACTGTATCCCCAAGTCCTGCTCGTTACCAGCGTTCCTCAGTTTCAAAATGCCATCTTCCACCTAAAAACACAACACCCAAGAGCAAAAACTCAAAAACGGACAAATCTACAGATAAAAAAGTGAACGAATTCTAGGACTCCATCTTCTTCAACTATGAGGAAAGCAATTCAAGCAAATACAGGCAGCTGATTCGCGCTCGCTCGCGCTACAGAAGCAGAGGGAGCACCTAGTCAGTTTGCATTTTGTTCTTCTAATTTCAGAACACTATTAGTGCACAGAAACATAATGACTATTATAAAAAGGGAGTCAAAACCACAAAACCCTCTGCTGCAACTTCTTCAGTAAAACGAAGACAACAGCGGCCTACAGCAGAGCATCACATGTACTTAGAGAAGAAAGGAATGGAATGAAGCCCTCACTGGTTCAAAACCAAATTAAATCTTAAACTAAGTGTGGCCAGCCATCACCATCACTATGACACAAAGAACAAACTATAGACGTAGACCCAAACTTACCACTTTCAGCTGCACAAGTAACTTGTAGACATCTGCCATGTCAGCCAGAATCAGCAGCCGGGTAACAGCAGAGAGCAGGGCCCGGGCTGCACGGACCATGTTGCCCCGCTTGACAGAAGAGCACGGATCATCAGCAAACTCCCCCGCAGCACTCCTCATCAAATCTCCTGTTTCGTAGAATGAAAACACAAAGCCATCAGGAATTAAGCTAAAGAATTAATTCATTAAAAAATAAAGCCGGGCATGGTGGCACACACCTTGAATCCCAGCACTTGGGAGGCAGGGGCCGGGGATCTCAGGGAGTTCAAGGCCTGGTGTACAGAGTGAGTTCCAGGACAGCCAGGACTGTTACACAGAGAAACCCTGTCTCAAAAAACTACCCAGAAAGTGACTAGACACTGTTGCAAACGGCTTTAAAAATACTTCTTCCTTTAACTCAATGGTAATATATGTGCCCCCCCCAAAGACACAGCCAGGCATAGTAATGATATTAAAAAAATATCAGAAAATGAAATAACAGCAAATGACTGAAAAAAAGTAGATAAACATTTATATCAACTGTAACATCCTCTGGCTTTCAACCAAACCAACTCCCTAATCTCTTCTCTAACAGATGCTTTTTAGTGACAGACAGACAGACAGACAGACAGACAGACAGACAGACAGACAGACAGAGCAAGTCACAATGAACACTGGAGTGTGTCGCCCACAACTGTAATCCCAGCTTTCCTGAAGGCAGAAGGTTCAACGCGGACAGGCCACAAAGTCAGACCCAGGCCCCCACCACTCACGTCTTAAAAATCCAACAAATAAACAAAACCAATTTAATTAAAACAATTTCTGTATTCACAAAATGATGAATAAAAACACAAATAGCCCCAGCAGAACTAAGTTCCCATGAGTACTTAAAGGCTACCCCTGTGAAGAACCGTGACAATAAGATAAATACGATGATTTTAACTTCTTTGTGTGTGGGCACACATGTGCCCGTGTGTCAAGGTCTCTCCACTGAGTCCAGGGCTCTAGTCTAGCTACCAATTTACTCTGGAGCGCTATGGCTGCCTTCCCAGTGCTGGGATCACAGTGGCATGCCACGTCCATCCAAATATTTCTGTGGGTCCTGAGGATCCAAACTCCAAGCCCCACACTTGTAGTACAAGCACTTTAACTGACCCTTTTCCCAGTCCAATGAGATTTTTAATAAGCTTTACATTTTTTGTAAAATTAAAAGCAAAAAATTAACCAGCAACTCTTAGGCCTGATCAGCAAGATGACTCGGCAGATAGGAGTACTCGCCACCGTAGCTGACCACCCATGATGGAAGCCACATAATGGACGGAGAGAATCAACGCCAACAAGGTGGCCTCTCACTCCCTCGTGCATGACACATGCAAGTCTCATTATACACCTCCCCTACAACACACATAAAATAAATAGAAATGAATTTTCTCCCAGGATTTGAGAAAACAACAGGAACTTTAAAGTCAGCTTTGAATACAAAAAAAGTTCCACCCCAGACTGGTTGGTTATATGAGACCCTGTGTCGGATGGATGGGTGGGTGGGTGGGTGGGTGGGTGGGTGGGTGGGTGGGTGGGTGGATGGATGGATGGATGGATGGATGGATGGATGGATGGATGGGTGGGTGGAGAGCAAACCAAAAAAGTAGGGGTTCACTTTACTGTGGTACGCTAGGAAAACAGGCAGCTGTATTTCTGTGAGTTCAAGCCCAGACTGACCTACTTAGTGACTTCCAGGACATCAAGGGTTATATAGTGAGACCCTGTCTCAAAATAAAAACAGTAAATGTCACTAAGTCTTTAAAGTTTATTTCTAAGAGATCAAAGCACTCTTCCTACACACACAAAAAAAAGCTACTGCAGATCACATGGTTGATAATAAAAACTGAGAATCTTACCCTGTTTCCCAGTACCTCTTAGTCAATTATGCTACATGTGGTATTTACCAAGATATAAAGAAGGAGATTAGGGGCTGGAGAGATGGCTCAGAGGTTAAGGGCACTGACTGCTCTTCCAGAGGTCCTGAGTTCAATTCCCAGCAACCACATGGTGGCTCACAACCATCTACAATTCAATCTGGTGCCCTCTTCTGGCAGAACACTGTATATGTAATAAATAAATAAGATTAAACTTAAGAGGACGCTACTGGTGAGGTAGCTCAGGGAGTGCTTGTTACACAAGGACCTGAGTTTCAGCATCAGAACCTTCCTCAGGGCTAGAGAGTTGGTTCAGCTTACAGCCATCTGTAAGTCAAGCTCCAGAGGGCCTGACATCCACATCCTCTCTGGTCTCTGAGGGCACCAGGCATATAAGTGGCACACAGATACACATGCAAGCAAAACACCCAAACACATAAAATTAAAGGAGAGAAAAAAAAAACCACAAAGCAAAACAAAATCAGTTGCAGGGAGTGGTGATGCGCCCCTTCAAAATCAGCACTCAGGAGGCAGAGGGAAGCCAACCTGGTCGACAGAGCGAGTTCCAGGACAGCTACACAAAGAAGCCAAAACTAATGATATTTTACTTTCATTTATGTGTATTTGTGTGTATGTCCGAGGAGGCAAGATGACAGTCTGGTGTCTTGGAACTGGAGCTACAGGCAGTAGTGAGCCATGGACACAGGTGCTTCTGTAAGAATTAAACTCAGGTCACAAGAGCAGGGAGCACTCTAACGACTGAGCCACCCTCCAGCCCCTTAAAGACACTTATAGCTTGCTTCTTTTCTATATTCAAGTCCAGGAAGGAAGGGGGGGGGACAGGAAAAGGTGGGGGCAAGGTAAGAAGAGAGGGGAAATGCCCATTTTTTTGGTCAGTAAAGGAACATGGCTGCAAATTACAGCTCTCCTGCCCCAAATGTCTTTATTAATGATAATTGTTCTTTCTGCTTTAAACAACTGAGCCATCATTAGCCTCATGAATACAGTTTTTAAAGAAAGGGTATATAAATGTTGAAAATAAAAAAATACCTGTTGTTTGTGTGTAATATGTAAAATTCAACAGGTGTTGGTGGTGCATGCCTTTAATTCCAGCACCTGGGAGGCAGAGGCAGGTGTCTCTGAGTTTGAGGCCAGCCTGGTCTATGTAGTGTGTTCCAGAACTGCCAGGGTTACACAGAGAAACCATGACTCAAAATGTACACACACACACACACACACACACTTTCGGATTTTGTTTAGGTATAAAAATCTTCTTATGGCTGCTAGTTCTTTATAAGCTGAGAAGGCAAAATTATACATTTCTAGGACTTTTCTTCCTTCAGACGGACTTCATTATCTAGCTAAGGCTAGCCTCAAACTCATGCTCTTCCTGCCTGACCCTCCTACTGCTGAGGTTACAAGAGTGTACCACAGCTCCTGGCTTCCAAAATCCTTTTTAAAAGCTTTATAAAATCAGGCATTTAGGGCATGGGTAAAACACAGGTAAAACGGTTATCTACAAACTCAATCTCACTTTCATTTTTTTCAGTTTACAATAGATGCAGGTAAATGAATTCAATTATTATGTGGGCCTTAGGTAGCCATTTCTTAAAGATTTTATGAGAGCATACTTTCTGTTATTAATTGTCAAATCCAACAGAAAAAAAATTTTTAAGACATCCACCTGAGTGTGCTTTTTGCAAACCAGGAAAAAAAGGGACCTTTGTAAAACTGACAGCAATGTCCAGTAAACAAGTAAGTGCTACTGTGCATCTTAAATATGTTCAAATTACTTGTTTCAAGATCAGTTTTAGGGGAAACCTACCTTGTTCCCCAGGACTCTGCTTAATTTGTTCTCTTTCCATGCTCTGAAACCTCTTCCTTCTCCTTTACCTGCCTTTTCAGAATTTTATATGCAATTTACATATATATCTATATCTGTCACTATGTCTATCGAACTGCTTAAAAGTGTGAGAGGTGGATAAAATTAACAATGTTTTTTAAGTCTTTAGGGCTAGTGAGACAGCTCGATGAGTAAAGGTGCTTAGCACCAAGCCTGAGTCCATCTATAGAGCCCAATGGTGAAGGAAATAAGTGACTGGTCCAGGAGTTGTCACACACACACTCACACACGGAAAAATTAAAATCTATGGTTTGCTGGTACAAAATAGTATATTTCAATTGTCTTACTCCACGAAAAATATCAGAGTCATAAAAAGTATATTGTAGGAAGAAAATAACTGGATCCTAAGCATTTTTTCTGTATCATAAAATAATAACAAAATGGTACAATGTGCTTCTACTCTGTGAACATATTCACAGAAAACTAGCTGCAAATTAATTCAGTGTATATGTGTGCGTGTATGTGTATGTGTATGTGTATGTGTGCGTGTATGTGTATGTGTGCGTGTATGTGTGCGTGTATGTGTATGTGTATGTGTATGTGTATGTGTGCGTGTGCGTGTATGTGTATGTGTATGTGTATGTGTATGTGTATGTGTATGTGTATGTGTATGTGTATGGCGGAGCCCTCAGAAGTCAGATGGTGGCATCGGGTCCCCTGAAACTAGCCTTACAGAAAGCTGAGGGCCACTAGGTGGGTGCTGGGAACGGAACCACCATCCTCTGGAAGAGCAGTCAGTGCTCTTAACTGTCAAACAATCTCTCCTGACTCAGGCATGTTTTTAACCTCTTAGTTACAAAATTTTAGGTAATTTATATTTTTTTTGCTCTTAGTATCAAACCAAACTCAGTACAAAATAATAATACCAACTGCTCCTTTTTGTTGGTGCTATCTTGTTTTTGAAATGCAAGCTTGCATTTAAAATTCTTTGTGGCCAGGCTTGGTGGCACACAGGTGCAATCTCACCTTTCAGGAGGCAGCAACAGCTCAAGGAGATCCACAGCTACATATCAAGTTGGAGGTTAGCCTGAACTACATACATGAGGTTCTGTATCCCTGCCTGCCTACGCACGCACGCACGCACGCACGCACGCACGCAGGCACGCACGCAGGCTTTTGCTGAGCCTAGGCATAGTGGTATATAATGGTACATGGCTATATTAAGAAAGCTGAGCAGAAAACAGACACAACTCCAACCTGAGCTACAAGTTAGGACTTTTGTTTCCTCTCAATTCCCCAAAAATAACTATCTTTTTCCATTCTACCCAGAGTAGCAAAAAACATTACCATAAAGTATCCTATACCTACGGGTTTAATTATCTTTGTACAT